GTCGGGCTCTGTGCTGACAGCTCAGAGCCCGATGCGGGGCTCGAACTCACGGACCGCGAGATCGTGACCTGGCTGAAGTCGGACGCTTAACCGACTGCGCCACCCAGGCGCCCCAAGCTTCTTATAGTTTAAATATATACAAGTATGTTATATAATTTATAAATATTTATTTAGGGTTTTTTAAGACTTTAAGGTTTTTAAAATAAATAGGTATTTACCATAGATCTCTCATACACATTTAACATGGGAGAGTGAGAAAAATGAATTGTTCTTAAAATTATGTAATTTTCAGAATCCAGCTTTTCTTAATGACTCAGAGTTGTCAATATCCTTGTTTTCTAAATGGTGTCACTAAGTGGGTTTCTTACAGGAATTCATCCAGTATTTTATTCCAGCTGCTGATACCGATCCTGCAAGGTCTAACATTGGTATGCACTTGATGCTATCAGAAGGTTTAAAGAGAAGGTGTTCCAATACTGACCAAGACTCATGCTCTTTCCTCAAAAGGCCCCTAAGAGGTTCATTAATTGAATCAGTGAAGGCTCATGGTATGAGGACTATCCACTCAGCTCACAAACACTGAGGCGAAAACAAATTGTGACCGTCTTCTGGTCCACAGGCATTAATAACATGCCATAGACTTAATACAACATCCTGATTTCAGAAGGTTAAAATGCGCTAAAGTGTGCATCTTCGGGTGTTGGGAGAGGTGCTCCCCCTCCCTCCCACACCACTCACATTACCTTCCATTAGAATGAAAATTAACGTAATCCCTGGCCTCTGTGTTTTATGCACTCCAGGGGAAGTGAAGTGACTCCCTTGGTAAAACTGAGAAGAAAAAGCTGAGTACGCATGTCTCAGCAACCTCCTTATTCCACTTTAGAAACCAGAATGCCTGTAGATGGTGTTGTCTTGTCAAGTTTAACCAGAAAGGTCTTGCTTTGTCAGAGAGGGATGGAGTGGTCCAGTCCCTTCTGTAAGTGGGTGAGTAAATTTGTCTAATTTTGATTTTCAGTTAGCAAACTCCTTTGGCTCTCAAAGAAGGCTACATCTTTCAGTCTGGCTTATACCAATAAAAGTTGGTATTTCAGCTTCCATCTGCCCGACTTATGTTATTTCCTAATAGTTTCAGAACTCTGACAGTAAAGATAGATGCTATTTCATGGTCTTCCTCAAAATCCTAACAACCTACACTTAAATTATTTCATTTCTTTTTTTGAAATTACATTTTCCTTCTAATTATAGTTCTTTGCATGATACCAAACACAACTAAATCTCATTTGATTTATTATCTATCTTAACGGTCTCGGAGGTATCTTGGAGATTGACTGATAAAAACGTGTGAAGCCTCAGAAATCCATACCCTGGATCATCAAGACTTCCCAGAGGCATCAGAGTCTAGACAAATCCCATTTGGATCAGTTGTCTCCACCAACTAATCAGAGCAAGGCTTTTCTTAAGAAAAACAGAAAATATAATAGTATGTACAGCTCTTGGTTGAAAGTCGTAAGCTATTTTTCTCATGGAAAAAATCCATGTTGTATTTACTGTATTTGCACCAGAGATATTAGTGTTCTGCTAACTCAGTGGTTTTGCATAAGGAGAGCATCAGGGCTACCACAAACATGACTCTTTTAACAAAATCCTTCTCTCGAGGACACACGGTATGGTCACAAACAGAATAAATATATCGTCTTTATCAATACCTCTCTAAGATCATAAAACGAAGCCAGCGCTGAATTACCAAAGAAACGTGTGTGTATGTGTAGAAAAAAAAAAAACAAAAAAAAAACAGGTTATATTCTGCACTCCAGGAGCAACATCAATAACTTCCTATGAAATAAATCTACATAACAATACCTTCATTTACTGAATATGAACATTTCTCTTAAGAACAAATGTGAGTTAGACTACATGATTTCCAATGATTTCTAAAAAAGTCTCAGGTTCAATGATTTTAGGTCCTCGATAATTATATATAGACCTGATTAACTTAGCTCCAAACTAGTATGTTCATGCCCACCAAATGCACTGAATACACACACACCTCCGTGCCCTGGTCCACAACGGGCTTCCATTTCCAGGGCCCTGCCTCCTCCCACCATTCCTTCAGGCACCACATCTAGCCTTAAACTTGTCAAATGGGGGGGGGCACCTGGGTGGCTCAGTCGGTTAAGCCTCTGGCTGTTGGTTTCGGCTCAGGTCATAACCTCGCGGTTTCGTAAGTTCAAGCCCCACATGGGGCTCTGTGCTGACAGTGCAGAGTCTGCTTGGAATTCTCTCTCTCCCTCTCTATGTGCCCCTCCCCCACTCATGCTGTCTCTGTCTCTCTCAAAAATAAATCAACTTTGAAAAATTTTAAAAATAAAGGTTTAAACTGTCAAATGGCCTTCTCCCAGGGTCCACAATTCCCTTAACAGTGACTTCATATGTGATAACCTATATAACCTTAACTTAGGTCACTCTACTTCCATTTCTTTTCTAATACTTATGTAACATTTTCGAACCCGGAATGGAACTTCCTGGAAAATGGTTATAAAAGCACACATTTGCTGAATGAAGGAAGAAACACCTAACTTAGATGTTACTGGAATTATATGAGAAAGTATATGCGCAAGTCCTTTGTAAACTGTCAAAAACCTAACAAACATAAGCAATTCTCTCTGTATCCCCAGAGCCTTATGGGTAATAGGTGTGTTTAATCACCATTTGTGGATGACAATCATATGAGAAACGTAGATAACAAAAGATCCAATACCAAAAATAAGGCCCAAGGGCCACGAGAAATGACAGTGACAGGGAGATTAGGCTGTGAAATGGCCAGCATCTGGCTGGAACCTAATAGTTGCATTTGTTCCCTGTTAGCTCTAGAAAGGTGATTACTGCTTTCCAGAATAGGGTGAAACTAAACAAAAAGTAGAGCTTGGGAAGAAATACCTCAACCTCCAACCAAAATTCCACCTGTAGGAACCTCATACATGCTTCCAGTCCCGTCGCAAACACCATCTGCCCTCCATCTGATGTGATTTCCTCTTTGCGACAAGTTCAAATCCAGCTTACTATATATTACCAATAAACAGCACCAACCCAATGAAGATATTCTTGTCAAACCATCGTCCTAAAATAAACAGGTAGGAACCAAAAGTAAAGGCCGTGGCCAAAGACCATATGGTCTGAGTCTCTAATCCTCCGAGATTTAGTCTAGCATTGCAATATTCCGGGTGAGAAACACACGCCTCCTCACACGCCTTCCTGTAATCAAGCAATCTGGGAGCTGCTGTCACGAACGTTCTTAAAGAACATGTTCAATCCTGAGAAGAGCACGAAAGGGGCCAGAGCATCTCCTTCCCCTTCATTCATTATGCTTACAGTCTAATCTCAGCTGTCAGAGGCCGGGTGATAGGCACCAGAGGAAATGCGGAATGATGATGGATGGTTAGAGAGAAAGAGAAACTGACAATAGTATCGAGTAGAATACATATTGTGCAGAAAGGGGAGGAAATGCCCCAGTCATATTTTAGTTTCTAACAACGAGGACAATGGTTTGACAGGCTCTTGCAGACAAGTGGCAAGAGGCCCCAAGGCCACCCAAAGACTGCTGGGATGGCAGCATCTTAGTGCTCACAATCTGGGCTTTTTAGAATTCGTTGACACAGAAGTGATTAGCTCCTAAGCTTATTTATTCCCTGATTCTTCCCAACTGGAATTTGATGGCATTTATAATGAATATAGTCATGTTAATAAAACAGAAATCGAAAAGCCCAGCCTCAGAAAGAAATGGAAACAAATGTTCTCGCTGCGAGGACTACATGGTATGGTGGGAAAAATCAGTAAGATCGATGTCAGACCCCAGATGTGCT